CATATTAGATAAATGGAAATTCCAAACTATGATAGTACCGATGACATTGATAAAAAATATAAACAGTTATTTCCTTTTATGCCGGCGGATACGTTTCGAATGTTAATCTGTGGAAACAGTGGAAGTGGTAAAACTAATCTTTTATATCACATGTTAATCAAACCACTGTTGTATTACGATGAGATTTATCTTTACGCGCGTAATCTAGAACAGGATAAGTATCAAAAGCTAATTCAAAAAAGTAGTAAAAAAAAATTCAAAAAAATTATTCAAAAAAGTAGTAAATTGGGATATGAAATACTTCATGTGAGTAACGACGAAATAACCCCGGTTACAGAAATGGATTACGAAGACAACCAAAAACTTGTGATATTCGATGATTACGTCTGTGATAAAAACCAGAGGCGAGTTATTGATTATTTCATTCAAGGACGACATAAGAATTGCTCTGTAATCTACCTTAGTCAGTCTTTTTACAAAACACCAAAGGATATACGGCTAAATTGTTCTCACTATTGTCTGTATGAATTTCCATCATCGAGGGAAGCAAACAGAATATCATCCGAATTAGGAGCTGACAAAGAGATATATAAGGTGGCAACAAAAAAACCCTTTTCATTTCTATACGTTGATAAACCAAGAAAAATTATTGCTAAAAACTTTACTAGTAATCTAAGCTAATAATAAAAAAAAATGGGAATATTTAATGAACAATCTTTTTATCATCCTTTTGCTAAAGGAATTCAGGGTGCTCCAGGAGTTGGATTTAGTCTAACCGCAAATGGTAATTATGATATTAATAAAAAAAGACTCACAAATGTTGGAGCACCTAGTGATAATAATGATGCTGCTACAAAGAAGTATGTTGATGATAATTCCACCGGATCATCAACAACACATCTAACAGTTGATTCAAACATTGATATGAAGAATACATACCGAATTACAAATCTTAGCACACCACTGGATGGAAAAGAACCTCCTACAAAAGATTACGTAGACAACACTTTTGTTGACAGAGATGGTTCCTACCCAATGAAAGGCAATCTCAATATGGATAATAATCAAATAATAAATCTGCCAGCTCCAACGGGACCTAAACAACCAACACCATTAGCTTTCTCAGATATGAAGTATCTTCACGTTGCTGGAACAAATAAAATGACAAATAATCTAAACATGGATAATAAAAAAATAATTAACCTTAGTCCACCAACAGACTCCACAGACGGTGCAACGAAAAAGTATGTGGATGACACAATACCTGATACAAGTTCTTTTATAAAAAAAGATGGAAGTATATCAATGACTAATAACCTAAATCTTGGAAACAAAAAAATAGTTGGTCTCGCAACTCCAACAACAAACACAGATGCTGCAAACAAAAAGTATGTGGATGATAACACAGCTGCTCCAGATTTGAGTGATTACTTGGAAAAAGATGGTACCGTCGCTATGACTGGAGACTTAAATCTTAACAACAATAAAATAGTTAACCTAAGTGACCCCTCCACAGATCAACAAGCTGCTAATCGCGGATGGGTTCGTAAACAAATAGAAAGATTTGATCATCATTCTGGAGATGGAACAAGTGGTGTGTTTACTATGACAGATCCAGCTGCGCCCACGACTTTGTATCTACAATATATCTCAGGTTCATCATTTGATGATTTTGTTTTTACA